AGAACCCAGGCTCCATCTCCAGTGACCGTCCACATGGAGAGGGACACGTGCCTGGCAGCGCACAGCGTGTCTGCGGAGGCGGGCGCCGCTCTGTTCGCTGAGGGGTGTTTCCGGTGGGTGTGCTAGGGCGCTTCGGAGGGGGCCTCTGCGTGTGTCTCCGCCTCTGGATTTGAATAAATGGCTTCACTCCTGTAGTGTCTGTTTCCAAAGCACTTCTGCCTGCCCCGCTCTTCCCCAGAGCGCTGGGTGGGAGGGAGTCCACGCACTTGGGGGTGCGCATTCCCCGCTCCCTGTCGCCGTGGGCAGAACGTGGTGTGATTGCTGCAACAGCGCAGCCTGTAGGTGCCTTTTAAAGCCCCAAACCATGTGCAGGCTATTTATTCTACATTTATTGTAGTTAACTTACAACAAGAAACTCAGGTGGATTTCATGTGATGTTTTTAACTGCCAGGTTCAAACTGGTGGGGGTGGTACTCCACCTTCAGAGAGGACCACTGGCAACGGTCTCTTTAAACCTGGTATTTGCCTCTGGCTTTTCCCCAGAGTCAGCCCTTGTTGGCAGATGAACGTGTGATGTTTGAGAACTCTCCAAAGTGACTAAAGCAGAACCTTTAAAGTTACTCGTGTGCGTAGGCCAAGGGGCGCTTTCGGGAAATGCATTCCCAGCTCCACTTCTGAGTTTCTCTTGTTAAAATAGCCTGGTTTTTGTCATCAAATGACAGATCTTAAACCCTAGCATCTCGCTGCAGCAGAGGGCCGATTTAAAGGTTCTGCTTGTTCTGCAGGTCGGTGTGTTTAAATCACAACCCCCCACGTCATGCTTGGACTTTGACGAGGTGGAGGGAGTGGCACCTGGCCACCGTAACACAGGCCCGTGGTCAGCACCTGTGCTTTGGGAGTGCCTCCGAGCAGTCAGTGTCACGGTGCACGCAGTCCAGTAGCTACCTGAGCAGCGTAATCACAGCAAAACTCACTTTCAGTGTCTGTCACGTTCCCTCCCAGGGCATCCCTGGGTGTTCATTGCCACAGCCACTGTAGGCCATTAATCTGTGGCATCAGGATGGCAACAATTTGTGACAAAAACTGTCTGCACCCATAGCCCACTAGAAGTTATAGCCCAGTGGTTCGCAAACCCAGAGGTCAAGGGGAAGGCACTTGGCTCTACCAGGTGCCTCTTACCTTTTGGTAGGGTTTTACAGTGAAAGTGTTTCCCTAGTTTCAATTTGAATTTTTGCCTGGTTTTGTTTTGTTTTGCCTGCTCCTGTTGCCTGTTGAAAAGAGAAAAATGTCTGGCGAGTGGCCCCTTTGCCTCCTCACTCCATTTGGAGCATCTGATGTTGCCGTGGGCAGGAAGGGGTCAGCAGTTGGTGAGGGCTGTGCCCTCTGGGGGGCGCTGACTCCAAGGTTGCTGTGGTCCTGGTAACAGTGGTCAGCCTAGTGGACTCCGTGATGATTGGAGGGCTCGGCCTACTCACAGAGGCGACCACCTTCTATCTTCTGCCACAAGATACATTGTCCTAATTTCCAAAGCTCAACAGAATGCATTGAAAGTTCTTGTTTAGTATTAAATCCATCTTGCTTGTTCAGAATTACCAATAATCTTGTCCTGGTTGGATTGGCTCAGTGTTTAGAGCGTTGGCCCTCGGATAGAAGGGTCTCGGATTCGATTCCTGCCAAGGGCACATACCTCAATTGCAGGCTCAATCCCTGGCCCTGGTCAGGGCTTGTGCAAGAGACAACCAGTAGATGTGTCTCTCTCACATCAATGTTTCTGTCTCTCTCCCTTCCACTCTCTCCGAAAAGCAACGGAAAAAATATCCTTGGGTGAGGATTTTTTTTAAAAATGACCAATAGTCTTGGCAGCAATTTCCAAAGTCACAATGAGTTGAATTTCATCTGCAGTGATGCAAGACCAGTGCTCTCCCCCAGTTAGACGGGTGGCCAAGTGCTCATGGCCACACATGCCCTGCATTCCTCGGAAGTCTTTCCCTCTGGCTACTTCCAGAGGCCTGCGGCACACGGATAGACTCCTTCCTGGAGGCAGGTATCCTGGGGCTGTTTCACTTACCCTCACCACTTCCTGTGTGACCACCTCCCACTGTGCCCACCTTGCTGAGGGATACCCTCCAGGAGGCCGAGAGAAGAGCGCCATTCTGATTTGTCAACTTTCTCCAACTACAGATGAGTCTGGTAGACGAATAGAAAGTTCTGCAGTAGGCTACTGTGTGGCATCACTAGGTCTCATCAAGTGTTAGCAGTGTCGGGGGCCCTTGAAGAAAGAAGTGTGGAACAGTGTCCTAGCAGCAGGCTTGGGGAATCCTGCTTCTACCACTTATTAGCTGTGTGTCTTTAGGCAAGTTATTTACCTTCTCCGATCCTTCCTTTCTTTATATGTGAGCATGATTCCATCCACCTTCCTCCAGGAATTTAAAAAATTAAATGTGTAAAGTGTCTAGAAAACGTGTTACGCATATTTGTAAGTACTTCATAAAGCACTGATATTAAAATCGTCATCAGTCCCTCCGTGTTCATATGTAGAAACTGAGGTCCAGGAGCCAGAGTGATTTGTTCCCAGACCCCAGTGACAGTGAAAAGTGTGGCTAGTGACAGAGTCAAGACCCCTGGCTTTTCACCAGACTCTTAGAAACTGTAGGCATACTTCAATTAAGGACCATTGTGACCAGCAACTGGCATCCAACACAGACATTTAAATCTTTAATTTTTTGTTATTGTAAGGGTATGTTTAAAAACCAGGGTTAGGTGAGGCCCAGTGTTCCTTCACTTAATCATCTGCCTGGTGGAGTTTATGTTCAGATTCTTATTTCCACCTTAGTTATAAACAAGTGTGCTTTAGGATCCATTAGTTACATACACCTGTTAGTTAGACTGTGTGTGAAACTGGATTTGGTGGAAGCTTGAAAGGTAACCATCTTTCATAATTTCTAATTACAGTGATAAAAATGTTCTCTATCAATTTATTCATTTAAAATACATTTTTAGTAGCTATCATGTTGCTCCTCTCAGTAAAGTGTAGGTTGTTCTGAAAGCCAGAGAGTCTGCAGGAGTCAGGCCTCTAGGGGGAGAGGAAGGGTGGGCTGCACGGAGGAGGTGGCCCTGACCCAGTCTTGAAGGGAGGAGCAAGGCTGGCTGGGGTTTGGAAGCAATCAGTGAGTTGGAAGTAGTCTCCAGAAAGCAGCCTGTTCCTCAGTTGAGGATGCTCTCTCTGTGATGTCTCTGTTGGGAAGCTAGAGAACTGTGCCTACAGGTGCCACTTGTCCTCTTCTGAAATAGTCATGTGAGTGCTACATCATCTTTCGTCTGAATGAAAGCACTGCAGGGGAACCTGGAACATTTGAGTTCCTGCCATCTGTCTCCACGCTGCTGTTAAGACCCTGCCCATATAGGAATGTGCTTAAAGCTGCTGGCAGTGTATTTATAGGTGTGGGCCGACCTAGAGGTTAATCGGGAGCCATTGGGTGGCCTCAGGTCCATTCTTAATGAACTGCAGTGGGAATTATAACACCAACTCAGCAGACTGTCACTGTTCCAGGTGGGACCTGTGAGCTGAGTATTCACGCTGAACTAGCACGCCTTTCTCCCAGAGCCACACTCACACCGTTAGTCTCTCAGCCTTCTAGAATGTTCTTCCCAAGCCATCACCAAGTGTTAGTTTGTGCAGAATGGTTTAAATTCTACAAGAAAAAAGAAACCTCACTGAAACCTTTGGCATTTTGACTTTTCAAACAACCATGTTTGAACTTCTCCTACAAGCCAGAAAGTTGAATCCACTGAAAACAGCTACACTGAAAGGGCAGTATATTGTTTTTTATTAATCTTTTAAAGAATCTCTTTAAAAATGTTTTTACTATTACACATTAAGAGTCAACAAATGACAGTTTAATGGAGGTGGAGGGGGTGGTAATCATAATTAATTTGGAACAGACAAGCAAAGTGCATTTATGCCTTTCCTATTAGCTTTACTCCTAAGAGTAAATATTAGTGGGCAGGTCTTTGGAAAGTTTTTCAAAGGTACCACATACAGGAAAGCTTGACTGCAGTGTGGAGTCTTAAGGACTTGCCACATTGCCACCATCTTTCTCTGCTGTACTTTTCCCAGGAGAATTAAACCACCTTGGTGTTAAAGTCCTCCCCTCCCTCGCCCCCAGTTACCTGCAGTTAGAGAAACGACCTTGCGTGACATTTGTCTCCTTCGGATCAAAGAATACCCTTTCTGCTTTGCAGAAGTGAAGAGGTTTGTCTCAGAGTGTAGGCACAAAAGTAACCAAACTTCAGTCACCAGAAGTTAAGTTCCTGAGTCCGCGGGCAGTGGGGGAGGGAGGCCTATTAGGACAGGAGCTGTGACGGACACTAGAGCCAGTCCAGGCTGCCTCAAGCTTCCTGTCACTGGAAACCCTACGAAAGGAGGTGGAAGTCTGAGGTTTACTGTGTGATTTTAATATGGAGATCTTGGGGTGTTTTTAATAGCGCCGAATTTCAGATAATAGGGTTGAAGGGAGTTTGGGAATTGCTTTCTCTTGTTTTCGTTATGTCAGAAAATTTAGGTCAAAGAATTTAAAAAAAAATAACGTTCCCATACTGCTTATTTGTTTTTCATTTCCTGAGTTACGTTTTTTGATGTGAGGATACTAAGTAATGTTAATAAAGAGTCAGATCTTTTAAAATGTTAATTTTGCTTGCTTTTGTAATTCCTGTTCTTATTTCAAGTTCCCCCTTCTTGCTTATATTCCCCCATATAAATCTTGACAAGCTTAAAAATGTGGAATTTCTTTGTGAAATTTATATTATTTGGAATTTTTACATAGTGTATTAAATAATTACTTAGCAATAGAGTTCAGCCTCTCTCTCCAGGAAATACATTATTTTAAGCAAACATGAAAAATACGAGCCCTGCCCCTTGCATTAATGCATCAGGAGAAATGGCCCCAGGGCAGCCCGCTGCCAGTGTGATCAGTGTGCGTGTGTGCTTTCTCTCCTCACAGGCAAGGCAGCTTCCCGGGCATGAACCAGAGCGGGCTCATGGCTTCCAGCTCTCCCTACAGCCAGCCCATGAACAACAGCTCGGGGCTGGTGAACACCCAGACGCCGGCCTACAGCATGCCGCCCAACATGGTGAACAGCTCCGCAGGTAACCTTGGCCCGCCCCCCCCTCTCCTAGGCCTGCGTGCCACGCACCGCACCTGCTCCCGCCTCTGATTGTTCGGTGTAAAGGGGAAAACGCCCCTTTCTGCTTCTTGGAAGCCTGCTCAGTCTATTTAACTGTGTTTAAGACTTGAGGATTACATTTCATATAAAGAAAATATAAGTCTTTCATTTAAATCTTTCATTCTGTGTACGATATGTGGACATATTTCATTTGTCCTTGGAAATCGTTTACTTGCTAAATATAACACTGAGTTCTTTCAGGGGGTACATGATGGGAGCGTTGGACGGCCCACAACAAAATCTCTGTTCTCCACTTGATAGTGGGAGAGACAGTCTGCGGCCACACCACCCTGAACGCGCCCATCTCCACTGGTGGGGAGGTAAATTTTAACACCCCGTGTCAGAGGAGCTGGCAGGAGGGCAGAGTAGGGGCAGGGGTTGAAGTACTGATTTTCATTTAGGGAAACTCACCTTTAACTGTTTACATGGGAAGTGCTCTGTGTAGGTGTCTGTTGAGAAACCATATACTTTTTTAAAGAACTGTTTTAAATTTTTCAGTATGTTTAAATTTTTTTCAACCCATTTTATGACCTCAACTGGCATTCTTACCAAAGCCCATCTGATTACTGCAGTAAGAGAATTCCATCAGTTTGTGAAAATGTTAAGAATGTCCAAAACTGCACATATTCCATGTTCTAGATTCCATAGCCCTGAACCACCTCCTCAAGCCCCCTGCCCACCTAGGGACAATGAGTGCTCGTCTTTCACCGAGAAATGCTGTGTGATTCAATTGACCTGTTGCTTCTGTCACCTGTTAGAGTGAGAGCTGCCACTCTGGGGTAGGAGCTCTCCTTTGGTTGATACAGAGCTGGGATAGCCAGTCGGTGCCCTGGGACGCTTTACTGTGTTAGGAGAACACTGGAGTCAGAGGCCGGCCTCCCCTTGTTACCCCCTTTCATTTCCCCTGCCTTTCGCTGCCTTCCCGACCTCTCCATCTCTGAGAGGCACCCAGAGCTGCTGTTTCTTTGTCAGGCAGAGCCTAGGAGTGGGCTTACATAGCAGTGCAGCGGAGTCCTGATGTGTAGGCCTAATTTAGCAGAGCCCTGCCCTGATTACTTGCCTTTGAAGTTTGTGGAAGAGGAAACAATAGAAACTACTGGTGAAGATGGGAGTTTTTACGTAAACAGAATAGGCCCTCCTGGTGTTCCGCAGGCGCCTCACCCCGCGAGGCGGTGCTCTCATCTGTAGTGACAAGTGCAGAGCTCTCAGCTTGGGAGCCTGGCGCTTCCCCACTGTCCCAGGTAATAGGGACTTTGGGTTGTGGCATTATGGCTTTTGTCTGGCTTGCTGAAATAAAATTACTTCAAAGCATTGAAACTATGCAATAAACTCTCACCTACTATTAGCCATAATCATTTTCCCCTGTTTCCTTGGGACTCCAGAGCCACAAAAATAACAACAAACACAAGGCTGGGTGCCTGCCTGAGAAGATGGATGTGTTCCCGAGGAATAAGCAGTCTGACGGAGATTCACAGGGAGGGGTTACACTGGTCAAATAATTCAGTTATTTGTTGTTTCATACAGAGGTAATCTGTTCCATAGAAGGCCATTTATCCTCACTGACTTTTGTATGGCCTGGTAGTATATATATATTTTTATTGCGTTGTGCATTTCGAAATATTGAATTTTTAGTAATTTAAACATCCGTCAGTTTTTTTCTACACGTTTATGCGATTTTATTTCAGCTTTATTCAGTCAGATGCCACCTGACAGAAAGTAATAATCCAGCCCACCCGAGGATATTGGCGATTCAGCCTCTGCGGGCGCGGGCCTGCTGGGCG